CGATGACTTTTTACTCAACCTAATATCTAGTAAATATTTGTTTACATTTAATAAATATTTCGCTAGAACTATTCAAAAAAATATTTCTTAGAATAAATTTTTTAAATTTAGTAAAATTTTCTCAGTGTAACGTCTTAAGATGCTAATACGGTTTTTTTATTTGTTCATGACATCTTAAGATTGTATTTAATGAGAGAATCTTAAATATAAGAATCGATTATAAATACCGGCCATAGAAATAACAATTTTAACTTATCAGAAACTGTGCAATTTGGTGTATTCGATTTCTGATAGGTTGAAATTGTTTCCTTATTCCTTATTTCTAATTGCTTATACTTTTTAATGTGTCTGCACTCTGAGCCGTCTGTATGTCAATCAAGCTTTGTTGTAATATAGCGATACCCTAATAGCGCTTACAAAGTGCATGTAATCGCTTTTTTAGTGCTTTGCATGAGCTTCTATGCTACTTGGGCAATTGGAATATTAAAAATATATATCTTGATTACAATAAATATTTGCGTCAATATACTATAAGCAAATGTTCTCTTGCCCTTTGTAGGTATTTCTTTTTCTCAACGAAATATTTCTTTTGTAGCATACAAACTTGAAAATTGAGTATCTGACACAAATATCAGAATTTCAGCATATAGAACAATAGAACATTAAGATTCTTATTACGAGAGAGATAGAGAGAGAGAGAGAGAGAGAGAGAGAGAGAGAGAGAGAGAAAGAGAATAAACTATTTCTTGTGTGCAACGAAATATTCATTTAAAAGTATAGTTCTTATTCATTCAAGAACATCATGATTTCTCCTTGTAATGATATGATTTATTTTATTCAACAAAATATTTCATCGAATAAAATAAATCGTATCATTGTAAGACATATTTATTTATTGAAAAACATTAGGTTCTTTATTGCAAATAAGTTATTTGTTTCATGCAACAAAATAATTTGAAATATTTTCAGAATGTGAAAGCAACATTCAAATAATAATCATTAAATATTCCAGTCATGCATTAATAGATATTCGGAGAATGTTTCATATATGTATTATATATTCGGCAAAATAATTTTATATTTTCCCAGAAATGTTAGGTCTGAGAGTCCCTAAAATAAATTTTTATAATAAAATTATACTGTCAAAAACACATTTCATTTGCTTTCCCATACAACATTTTTACGTCTTAGACGTGAAAAAAGATGTATAAAAGACGTCTGAAAGTCTCGAAGTCATATTTTAAAACGTCTTAAAATCATCAGAAAGATGTCCTTAAGACGTCTTATGACGCTTTTTGTGACATCTTTAGGAAATCTTTCAGACATCCTTAGATATATTATATTTAGACGTCTTAAATCATGATGTCTTTGAGACGTCTGAAAAAAAGATGTTTTTAGGATATGACCAAAAGTCATCTTAAAAACGAATTTTAGACAGTCTTAAAGACGTCTTAAAATGGACGTCTAAATGATGTCTAAAAAAACAGGATTTGACTAAAAGTCGTCTTAAAAACGTCTTTTTTAAGACATCATTAAGAAGTCCTTTAGACATTCGTATTCTCTGAATTCCCTGTAATTCTATTTTGGGGATTCACTTTTCACAATGCTCAATAATGCTTCACAAACAAAATGCTACACTTTTTATATTCTTTCTCATATAATTCTTATTTGCATATTGCTCGCAGGTGAGTGAATTTCGTGATATATACAAAAAGTGTTTATACAGTATATTCCGAATATTAATATTAATATTAGTAATATTTATATATACTGTAAAAATTCTTTTGCTGTTCCGGAATATTCGACACATTGAAAATATAAATCGAATTTTTTGTTGAATAGTTAGCGTTAATTTTAATTAGAATATGACACGCATAAAATATTATCTACAAAAAATATTTCTTAAAAGTACGAGTTTTATACAAATGCTAAAATAAAAACGGTATATATTTAAAAATAAATAATTGTATAATATGATTACATATATATTTTAATATAATATAATTAGAATTATATTTTCTTTATATAAGCAATTTTGAGCAATACAATATATACTCGTATATACTATATGTATTCTTTTACTTATAAAACATCTTAGAATTTTACAATTTGCTATTTACTTGCTTTCTTATGACTTAATTATTAAATTTTTTTAAATATAATAGAGAACGCCAATAATCTGTGAAAGCTAGATGCTATAAGTACAATACATATTCTTAATTTAAATTTAATTATCTCAGATGTGACTGTGCGGCGAAATATTCGAACATTAACCACGATCGATCTGAGACACTAATAATATAAATATGATAAGGCGCCAAAACATTCGTGCAAACATTCTTATGAAATAATCCCCCCTAAATTAATTCTGTAAAGAACTTATTACAAAAAGTATTACCTCAGTCAGGATTCGAACCTGAAATCTCTCGACTTTCCGGGACGAGTGTCTTATAGACATCTTTTAGTCTTGCTGAAAAAACAATCTAAAAACAATGTCTTTTCGTCATCTTTTAGATATTTTTTCACTTTATCAGAAAGATAATTTTAAAAAGACCTTTTTTCGTTATGTTTTAGTATTTTGTGCTGTCTGGGTAAGTGTGCCTAAGTACATTAATATTGATCAGCACCATCTTCTCTTATTCAATTGTATATCTTCTCAATAATCAATTATTAATTCATAATGATTTAAACTATTCAAAATTTCTATTAATTTGCAAAATACCTACGAACTTTCATTGAGCTTGTTCAAATTGATAAAGCAGCTAGGCTAGAGAGAAAGAAAGCCTCAAAGGAAGAGAGTGGCAAATTGCATCACGTGAATGCCTGCGTCCAATCAGGACAAGGGTCACGTGATCAGTTTTCTCCAATCTCTCTTCCATGCTTATGAAGCTTTGATGCCCGCGTCGAATCAGAGGAGACGGGTCACGTGATGCAATTTGCCACTCTCGAGGTACAGTCAACGCGATGCTACAAATGCTTTAAAGCAATTTTTGATTATCAATTTGTAAAATTCTTTTTTCTAATTGGTCAACCAAACGCTTCAAAGCATTTGTAGTGAGACTTGACCGCAACCTCGATCTCCCTTTGATGCTCTTTAATAGCGAATTTGATTGGAAGCACAGGTGTGCAGTTGTGACCTATAAATTCAATCAATCACATTGAATCGCTCAACAAGTAAACTAGCTGCGGCTAGCGGTTTAATTGTCTGATTTGAACGCTCTCATTGATATCAGTTATAATATGGGTGCTTTCCATTTGATGACACAAGTGTCGTTCTATCTTTGTCATTCTCTGAATGTCAACAGAAATAGAATGACGCTTGTGTCGACTTGTGTCTCATCAAATGGAAAGTACCCAATCAACTGTCAGTGATACAATACTTTACATTCCAAACTTCCTCTCCGAGGAAGATTTTACTCTATGCTTATATATTATAGTATACGTTACGTGTATTATATATTTCGAGTAAAATTTTCCTCAGAGAAGAAGTTTTGGAACTAAAGCTTTGGAACTAACAGAGAGAAACCTGAAAAGGCATCTTAACGAGGTCTATTAAAGGCTGTGTTCCAAATTTACTACCAACACTAAAAATGCTACAGTTTACGTTATGCACTACAGATTTTCAGTGCTGGCAGCAGTGATAGGAGATGACAAGAATTGGTCTGCTCTAGTAAACTTTGTGCGCATGCGTAAAATGACGTGCAGCTCGATCTAACATACGATGAAACATACGGGTGCTTTTGGGGCTCCTGTACATCTGAGACTAACCGTTCCAAATTAAGAGGGACAATCTCAAATTTTAACACTTTGTCCCGCTTTACAACCCGTTCTAAATTTTTTCCTAAATTAAGGTTATAGTAATGAATTATTCCTCTTTTAACCTCTTAGGTACTGTACGTCATTACAGTGACTTTCTCGAATGTTATCTCTCCGAACGTTATGTTGATATTCATATGATAAATCGGCTGCAGATGTAATAAAAGACAAAATTTATTATTATTCATAAATACACTATGTATCTTTAATAAAACCCTTCCTTTTCTCCCTACAATTTTCTTAACATTGTTATTAAGGGTCTTATAATACCATGAAATGTGTACGTCAGTTAAGACTGCTCAGCTTTACGCATGTGCACAAAATTTCTTAGAGCAGACGAATTCTTGTCACCATCACTGGCTGGCAGTCAATTTTGGAACATAGCCAAAGTTGTTATGTATTATGTGACTTTATTTTATATATTGATTATTGATGTATTCAACCGCAAATAAACCGGCTAACTGAATAGACTAACGGTAATATTTATATAACATTTCTTAATGAATCGAAGTTATATAAATTAGAAAAAATAGATAATAAATTTAATAGATAAATATGAAGAAAAACTGTTTGGAAAAATTGAAAGATACATCATTTACTTAGTGTAGTGTACGATTACTTTAATCATTTGCATTATAAAGAGAAATAAAGTTAAGGAAAAGAAAATTTTAATGACTGACATATTAAATACAATATTGATTATAGATAAACATAAAAATGAAGACCTTGAAGATCTTGAAAGGATAAGTTGCCAAGGATGAGCTGCTGCTTAGAATCAGACAATGATATAATATTTACCAACATAAGAAATGTACACAATACACTTAACAAAGTAGATAAGATTTTAACGCAAGATTTTAACAATGCAAAATATATAAACAAAATACAAATAGTCCTTATAAGAACATATACCTATTTAATTAAAACTTGTTAAAGAATCCTAAAAGTCCAGTATTTAAAAAGTTAAATAAACGTGCAAACTCTGTAGACAAGGCTCAAAAAGATACATATTTACAAAGAAAGAGGACAATTAGTGTAAATAGTGATTGTGATATCTTTAAATCAGAATTATATAATACAGAAAACTTTGAAACTATTGATCTGTTATATGATTTAGATTCTGTAATAAAGTTTGCTTTACAAAGATTGTAAAGATATCTTTTTATCAATGGTGAATACACAAGAAGATGACGGAGGGATGATTATGGATCCAGTGACAGATTCCCTTTCCATTAGTGATTGTGAAAAGGAAGATTCCAATACATTTGCAAATTCATGTTCAATGTCTCGCAAAAGACGTAGAATTGAAACATCACAATTTCAAATAAAATGGCAAAAATCTGAATGTAATTTTAAGAAAGACACATATAAGTTGAATATAGAAGAGAAACGTCTTTTAAAAAAGTTGAATAATTTTGAAGAATGGGAAGAAATGCCATTAATTAACATAAAGGTTTGATTATATAAAATAACAAGATAAGCAAACGACTCAATTGATAATAAATCAAAATGAAATTAAGAGCTACAAGCCAATAAAGTTAATTTAGTAAAATAAATTCATGTAATAATTAATTACAAATGTTTTTACAGAAATTTATTACTTTAACAATAATTCATAATAGATGTTTCAACCTATACGAAGTTATTATCAATGTTATAAACTCTAATCATTAGTATGTTAAAACACACACATTAAAAGTAAAATGATAATTATAAACGAATGCTTTTTCATTTACAATTATCATTTTACTTGCGAATTTAATGTTTTAACATATCAACAATTAGAGTTTACAATATTGATAATGATCTCATATAGGTTGAAACATCTATTATGAATTATTGTTAAAGTTATGAATTTCTGTAGAAACATTTATGATTAATTATTATATATTACATGAATTAATTTTTTATTAAATCAACTTGATTGTTAATTTAACATCTTTTAATTTGCTCGTTTATTAGTCGTTTTATTTGATAATTTGTTTTGCTATGTTCAAAACAATCGAGTGGTTATACATTTCATTGTTATAACTTTATTGGTTCGTAGCCTTTAATTTCATTATTTTGATTAATTTTGATTGTTATATTTTAAATATTATATATAATTTATTTGTTTTGTAAAAACTAATTATTTTATATTTCAGAAACTACTAGAACTACATATAAAATTAATACATAAAGTACCACCACAACATAAAATAGAGCTTTCTGGATCTCATGCGCCAACAAAGGAAGAGAAAATATTATTCCAGAAACATGGACCAATTCGAAAAGGTTCATATAGACCTATAGAGGACAAAATTATCAGGAAAAACTGGAACACATTCTGCGAGGTATATTTTAAGTTTTTAAAATATATGTTTTCTTCAGAATCCCCAAACTTGAGAACGAAAATATTCAAAATGCAAGATATTACAATATCATAGGATGATATAATTACATTATTAATATATTTTTCCATGTAACGTGTAATATACAGCTCCATGACTGGGATCCAGAGAATCCGAAGCCATTTCTTTATTGGAGACACAATGGCAGATATTATATAAACGACATAGAAGAGAGACAAAGATTCGTTCAATTTTTGGCAAATGGATTACCTTGGCGAACTCTCTACAGTGTTTATTCTAGATTTAAAGTATTATATTGTAATAAAATCACTTATAATCGGTAAGATACAAAAATCTCAAATCAGACTCGAATTAATCATCAAATCATTTAAATTTGTATTCACATATGATTTTTATGCTACAGTTATACCGCTAAGGAAGACAAAAAAATTTTAACATACATAGAAAATGAATATCTTGATAAACGTTGTACTAAATATAGTGAATTAGCAAAATTATTAAGACGAACCAACCGATCGATTTTTAAACGATATCAATATCTCAAAAATCAAACTCTAGATAAATCAGAAACGGAATGTAAGTAACTTTCATGATATTAGCTCTTTCCACTTCAAAAGTGACAACTTAAAAAATTAAGTTTCCCAGAAAAAGGGGAAAAACTTTATTAACTTAACAGAAAATTATTAATATTAGTAAAAAGATTATATTTTTAACATGATCAATTGTCATTTTTGTCGCTTTCATTTCATAATTCTTAAAGAATCATTCTTTTTGAGTTGTCAATTTCTGAACTTTTTATAAAGTTAAATTAATTCACTCTTCATGACTGATGTTTTTTCACCATTAAACATTGTTTATATTTCTAGGTACTTAGTGTATTCCTATACGTGTACTATCACATTGTTTAATTACAGCGTTAGTTGACGTTAAATGGACGTTACCACTGATAAAAAAATTTATAAAAACTTTACTCAGTGTGACAATAAGTGAAGATATAAAAGAACTTAAAGATGCTACGCTTCCTAAACCAGTGTGGCAAAAAATGGAGGAAAATCTTAATATAAACGAGAATGTCTTAAGAACATTTTGGCAGCACCAGTTACACCTGCAATTATTCAGCACGGATCCTATTTATTTAAACGACATTAAGATACAATTAATTGAATAGTAAATATCATTACATTCTATAACTATTATTGTAGTACAATACATGTATTGAATATCATTTAGATTGCTTTTAATAGATCACAAATTTTGTTGAATTGCATTATATACAAACGTATATACTTATTTTTGCAGTATGTATGCAAAAGGAATATCCAATACTCGCGAAATTATATGGCCCAATGTTGCGCGACACTTCGACGGAGCAACTGCAGTATTCCTTTGCAAAGTTTTTTTTTATCTTGTTCAAGAATGCAAAACTGATACGGATAATTTCGCCGGTAACGAAATATCTAATTTATATTTGTAAATATAATTTGTATTCATGTATATGTTACACGTCAATTTTTGTGTTACAGATGTTGTGGAATACTTATATCATACTAAGATTCCTGAAATTCAAAATGCATATACCGATAAATTCTTACCTAGAATTATCTATGAAAATGGGAAAATTTCTTTGCTAAACGGAAACTAGTAACAATACTAATTCTACTGATAGTTAATTTGTATAAAAAAAGCATTATGTATAATTATACTATTTTATCTTTTTATATCTAAATTATACAATATATAATTTTATGTATTTCAAATATGTAATGTTAAATTAATATAAATACATATGTATGTATTACTTTTAAATGTATTATTTAAAATTTTATAAAAAAATTTTATTACGAGTAGAAATAAGTTTTATTTTTATAAAAAA